GGTCTGTAAACGATCTTTTTTTTTATTCAGCCTTCAGAATGGGAAGATTTTGAAACCCCATTTTCGCGTTTCCATCTTTAAGCTCTAACCGCATTTTTTTTCTTACACGCATGCGTCATAGCGTCGCCTCTAAACACGCATGCGCGACACAGTATCACAACAACAATGGCGCCGTACTGTGTTGAATGGTTGCTGCTCATGCTACTCACCCTGCTGTCGGGCTTACAACAGAATCTTCTTCTTCTGGAATATCTCCAGGAAGAACAGAGCAATATCGACGACATAGTTCAGCACCTGAATTTGACTGAACCACGAAAATGGACCCGCAGGGCAACCATGTATAAATATTACTGCGCATGCCAAACATTTCGTCGCCTATTTTTGCTTTGGCACGACAGCGCCACTTACAGGCCTGGCATACATTTTGCAGCGTTTTCATGCATTCGTGTGGACGATCACATTTATTTTACGTCTCCATCTTTACGACAAACGTTCTGGAAAATATTAGCGTTTCGTGTTCGTTTTGACTTCGTGTGGACGGGGCCTAAAGAGTTTTCCTCTCCTCTCGCAAACAGCACCCGCTGACACAACAACAGGTGACTGTTGGGCACTTGAACCATAACTCCTATTTCTCTACATTTACGGCTGTGATGCACATGACAACTTTTTATTGTTTTTATATTCAGGTGAGTTTAGAGCCGCAGACAGTAGCCAATGAGTGCAGTTTATCACCAAACACCAGGACAGTTTTGTTTTATTTTCAAATCTGAGCTTCCTTTTTAACAGTTTTTATCTTTTTAAGGAATGTCGTCTCTAAAACTTAAATTTATTAGTGAAAAAAGTCTGAATTTGCCGGTGTGAATTATGTCTATGTTGATTAGAATCTATTTATTGCACTTTTGTAAGTCTCCTGCCTGATGGACGGATAAGGAAGAGAGAGGAAGGAGGTCACAGCTGATGCATCTCTGCAGCTTCCTGGGCTGCACCACAGAGACACCCTGTGGTGGCACAATACAGCCTGAGCAGGAGCAGCAAACACAATCAGCCTGCAAAAGGATTCAGTTCAGATCAACAGACGGGAACCAAAATAAAGCAGCAACACACATTAGGTTCTCTGGTTGCTTTTTGTTTTGGAATTTCAGCTATTTTTTTATTCCTTCAATGTCTGGGCCAAAGTTCTGACTGACTGCGACCCGTTCTTCTCCTAATAACACTTTGAGTTGATCAGTTTGATAGTTCCTGTTTCTACCTCTGCTTTCATAAACACACCTGGACAGAAATGTCGGCATCCTTCATTTAATGAAAGAAAAGCTCACAGTGGTCACAAAAAAAAATAATTAATGTTAGAACTGTAAATATACAGGCATATGTTTATGTTACTATTTTTTTATGTATTTATTACTGTTTTTCAAGGCAGCAGTTAAAAAAATGAAATCAAAATAAATCTGTCTAAGTCTAAGAAATAATAATAATCTGAGAAAAGTATAATAAATAATAGGGTTGCAAGTAACAATTATTTTGCAAATCTATTAGTTTCGATTATTATTTCTATCAATCGATTTATAATCAGATAGCCAAAGGTTCCTTAAAGAAGACTTTTTTATGAAATCAAACCAGGTGAAATACTTTTCTACTTCATGAGTTCTGAATAGAAAGTTTTAAAAACAATCCACTGGACTTGGTTTCCAAGGTTTGAAGACGTTTCGCTTCCCATCCAGGAAGCTTTCTTAATTCAAATGTCTGGATTCACAGTGAGTTTGAGGCTTTATATACACAGGGCCTTGTTTTTTAAACTTTTAAAGTCTATGAAAATGAGCAAATGAGAGTAAGACATAGCTTTTCAGTCGTGCTTCAGGAGAATGATTTAGACAAATAAACATTTTTTAACAGGCCAGGATGAAAATAATGGCACCCTTAACTTAATATTTTGTTGCCAAACCTTTTGGAGGCAATCGCTGCAACTCTCATGAGGTGTAAAGGCTGCCTTTTCAACTCCTTAAAGATGCTCAATAGGATGTGCCAGAAGCAAAGCAGACCCATAGCATAACGGAACCTCCTCCATTTTTCATAGTAGTAACAGGGTTATTTTTTAAATATATTTCATTTTTCCATCTGTGAACATAGAACTAAGCTGCTTTGGTAAAAAAAAAAAAAAGTAAAATTTTCTGTCTCATATGTTCATAGGACATTATCCCATGAACTTAGTGGCTTGTAAAAATATAGTTTGGCAAATTGTAGTCTTGTTTTTTTATCATTGTTTTCAACAATGGTGCCTCCTTGATTATCTCCCATCAAGTCCACTTTGGCTCAAACAAAGATAAATGGTGTGATCTAACAATGATGTTCCTTAAGCTTAACATTCACCTTTAATTTCTTGAGAAGTTTTTTTCTTGGCTCTTTTATTACCACTCATATGTCCGTCTGTTTGATTAGTCATCACTTTCCCTACTGCTGAGGTTTCTACAGTCCCACTGATCTCAACTTTCTGAAAAGGTGCAGCTGTAGTCTTAGAAACATTAAGCTGCTTGGAGACGTTCTTATAGCCTTTACCTTCTTCATAATCTGCTAAGACAATTCTTTCCCTGGCTTTCTCTGGTCCATGTTGAGTGTGGTACACACCATGTGAACAAACATTTGGTCAGATTATTTAGTGTTTTCTGAGGCACTTATTTTTGTCTATGTCTGTTTTATTAGTTATTCTTTTTTTTAATCATTCTTTTGAATAAATCCTTGTTCAAAGGCATTGTCTTTCTACATTTTTATAGAAACTGTATTTATGACTTTTGCTAGAATTATTTATTTCTGTGGCCATTATAGGTTTGTTAAGAAGCAATAAGATTTTCTGTAATTTTCGGGTTCTAGAATGTGTGTTTATATAATCCTTTTGTTTTTTGAATTGTTTGTTGCCTTTGTGGGTGTTTTCTTTTTAGAAGCCATCTTGGAACCTTGCTAAGGAGGAGGCCCGCCTCAAACCCAGCTCTCTTATAGAGGGAGCCATGATGGCTGATCTTTGATTGGCTGAGGGTAAATTGAGAAGGCGGGGATAACAGTATATAGGTGGACTGCTGGCTGTAGTAAGGGTCTGATGGGAAAGCTGCCATTTTGTTTTAAGTATAACCATGCTCTGATGAAAGACAGCTAATAAATCACCTTTTGTTTTTGCTCCAACCAACTTTGCTGACTTTTTACTTCCACACCACACCTCTCAGTGCAACAAGGTTTTTCTTTGATTAACCAAGAGGGGAACCAAGAAGTTTTTTTTTTGTGTGGAACTAACAAGAGCTTCTCAGTGGGGATACCATCTCAGGAGTTTAGTTTCCACATGGTTTCCTCTTGTGTCATTCTACTCTGATAAAGTGGAAAATACACCGGTAATCATTGAGGAGGGCCTGGAAAGTTGCTACTGGAAAATGTTTGGATTTCACTCTTTCTTCATGGTAGTTTTATTTTGAAGTCCGTTTACTTAGATGAGTTGGGCTCCATTTAGGATGTCCTCACATTTTTGTGATAATTTTCAAGCTGTTCCAACAATCAGGAAGATATATAAGAAATTTCTGCTGCTCTTTGGGTGTCTACCTCCTGCAACATTTTGGTTTTTCAATTGTTTATTTTAATTAAAAGTCCTTATATAACAAAAGGGGGGTGTCACTGATGTTCACCAGTTTGTATATATATATATATTTATTTTATTTTTTTTGTTTGTTTGTTTATTTTTTTATGCTTATAAAAATGAAAACATGACAGATTTAAGTCAAATATTTCCTTATAGTTGTGATCAACTCAATCCACCTACTCCATTTTTCAATGTGGAGGGAGTTTTTCCTCTCCACTGTCGCTACAAGCATGCTTAGTGTGAGGGATTGTATTTGAGTCAATGAGTCGATGCAATCAACTGGTTTTCCTTAGATAGAAAACTTTGAATCAATTTGACTGTATGATCTGTCTGAACTGTAAAGCGCCTTGAGATGACATGTGTTGTGAATTTGGCGCTATATAAATAAACTGAATTGAATTGAATGTTACCACAAAATATGTTGTAATTGGTTTGCTTCTTGTCCTCCACATTCCCTCCATTGGACTGAGGTTTTGAAAACCTAGCCAGGTTCTTATAGCAGAATTCCCTCCATATCATCTATTCCAGCTCAAATACTGTTATAGTGACCTTTTTTCCCATTTTTGTTTCACGTATCATTGATGTTTCTTTAGACTTAAGTGAAAACTTTAGGTCTTAACTAAGTTCTACAAGTCTGTAGAATGCTAATGATCTGAAGTCCATTTACATGATTACAGAACATTTGATTTTGATGAAAAATTATGGTTTCTGCATGTTTTCCTGTCCAGGAAACCGATACTAGCACAATAAAGCAATGCCTCCTAGCATTTAAATCCTTCTTTTATTTCAACAAAAATAATCCGTAATTGAGATTGAGAGTTTAAAACTGCTTTTAACAGATCACATACTCTTCACCTCTGCCTTCCTTTCGAGTGAAGATAGATTTTTATTAGTCTGCAAGGACAAGCAAGTGATCTTTAAAATGCTATTTGAAAAGAATGCAATTTGTAAAACTCAATCTAAAACAGAGAAAGGAAAAAAGTCAACAAAATAAAAGTCTGTCAATTAAAAAAATGTGTGAAAAATGTACAACTAAAATATTTATAGTTTTTAAAATAAAAAAAATAAAAAAACTGAAGTTTGAATAAAGATTTTCACAGTGTAAATTATGGATTGCAGTTTTTTTTAAATGCCCATTTACTTAACATGTTCTCAACATGTTTGCAACAATAACGGAACAAAATTCCCTCCATAGTGCTAAAGGTTAAATAAAACTGCATTCCTGCTTATGTAATAAGATACATTTTGGGTGCAAAATGCAGCTTATATTAGACCTGTTGTGCAAAGAGTGCAATTTTACAACAATTGCAGTTTCCTGAAAAACAAATGTTGCCCAAATGTGTTAAAAATGGTGGAGCTGTTTCTTTGATGGGGAGGCAGAGCAAAAATGGCTGTGTGCTACGATCACCTGAAAGGCATAAGGTCACCAATTCCCAGTGGCCCAGCTCACGAGACAGCTGTTACAGCTCGTCTGTCCTCATGGGCACACACATACACACTTATACAGGAAGTCATGACGGCTGGCTGGAACCTCTCCAGGGCCAAAGGTGCCGTGAGAAGCCATATGGTGGTTCTGGATCACCACCTCTGCTCAGATGTGGCTACTTTCTCGTTGACATCAGAATAAGGCAGATATAAGCCGGCCCAGCCTCCTCTGCTCCGCTTCCTCTGTCAGGTTACAACCTGCTTTCATCACACACACACCATTTATTAGACAATGTGTTACTCCGGCTGAATGGAGTGCGTGTCGAAAAAGCTTTGAAAAGGCTTGAAAAGAACCCTTCCCCGCTATCCAGGAAATTGGACTCGCCGCAAAGAGAAAGGTAAAGTCTTCCAGAGGAACGATGCAAATTAGGCTTAGAAGCTGAAGCTCTGTGGGTGTGTGTGTACGTTTTGTGAATACCTGTTTACATGTGAGTGTATGGCTTGCATGTGGTGAGAACTGGCAGAGGAAGCCTTCTGAGGTTTTTCATGCTGGATGGAAAGTACCCCTCAAACACCTCCACACATAATTCGACCCTCTCTCCTCTTCTTCTTTGTAATCTTTGATCGGTCCGACCCGAAGTTTCCACCAGTCCTGACTCATCCTCCTACTAACCTCTTCATGGCCCCGCCCTCATTCTGATATTGTCTACTTTCACACAAATGTTGCTTTATGTAAGAAGTTTTACCCTGTTTATTAGCAGGTGATCTGCTACGGTTTCAACGTGCCTGAAATTTGAAACATGTTGCCCCCTTAAAGCTACACAATTCAGTGGATTTTAGGTGGATATGATCTGATACCCTGTGTGCCAAACCCATGGCCCGTGGGCCAAATCCACCCCTTAATGACAATTTATGCAGCCCTCAACTGCAATAAAGAAAATATGAGTAAGTTAATTTTTCCTTATTTGGAAAATACACTCACCGGCCACTTTATTAGGTACACCTGTCCAACTGCTCGTTAACACTTAATTTCTAAGCAGCCAATCACATGGCGGCAACTCAGTGCATTTAGGCACTTAGACATGGTCAAGACAATCTCCTGCAGTTCAAACCGAGCATCAGTATGGGGAAGAAAGGTGATTTGAGTGACTTTGAACGTGGCATGATTGTTGGTGCCAGAAGGGCTGGTCTGAGTATTTCAGAAACTGCTGATCTACTGGGATTTTCACACACAACCATCTCTAGGGTTTACAGAGAATGGTCCGAAAAAGAAAAAACATCCAGTGAGCGGCAGTTCTGTGGGCGGAAATGCCTTGTTGATGCCAGAGGTCCGAGGAGAATGGCCAGACTGGTTCGAGCTGATAGAAGGGCAACAGTGACTCAAATAACCACCCGTTACAACCAAGGTGGGCAAAAGAGCATCTCTGAACGCACAGTACGTCGAACTTTGAGGCAGATGGGCTACAGCAGCAGAAGACCACACCGGGTGCCACTCCTTTCAGCTAAGAACAGGAAACTGAGGCTACAATTTGCACAAGCTCATCGAAATTGGACAATAGAAGATTGGAAAAACGTTGCCTGGTCTGATGAGTCTCGATTTCTGCTGCGACATTCGGATGGTAGGGTCAGAATTTGGCGTCTACAACATGAAAGCATGGATCCATCCTGCCTTGTATCAACGGTTCAGGCTGGTGGTGGTGGTGTCATGGTGTGGGGAATATTTTCTTGGCACTCTTTGGGCCCCTTGGTACTAATTGAGCATCGTTGCAACGCCACAGCCTACCTGAGTATTGTTGCTGACCATGTCCATCCCTTCATGACCACAATGTACCCAACTTCTGATGGCTAGATGGAGATTCGCATCATGGATGTGCAGCCGACAAATCTGCGGCAACTGTGTGATGCCATCATGTCAACATGGACCAAACTCCCTGAGGAATGCTTCCAGCACCTTGTTGAATCTATGCCACGAAGAATTGAGGCAGTTCTGAAGGCAAAAGGGGGTCCAACCCGTTACTAGCATGGGGTAACTAATAAAGTGGCCGGTGAGTGTATTTTATGATTGTGTACAGCACTTTGGTCCTGTCGTGTATAAAGTGCTTCATAAATAAAGTTGGTATGGTATAAAATCAATATTTCTATGAAAAACAGTTTTTAGTCAAAGCTGCTGATCAAAGCATGTTTTGTTGATCCAACTGAAGTTAAATTAAACCTACGGATTTAAACGAATCCTCCCAGCTTTCCCTCCTTACTTTTTTTAATCACTCGTTGGCTTTTGTTCCACACTCACAGCAAAGATAAGTTCTGCAGCAGCTCCTACATCCATTGGCTGTATTCAAAACAAAACAACAACAAAAAAAATGTGTGAAAGATGGCAGCTATCTCTTATAGTGTTTGGATGAATAAGATCTGTGCTCCGTATAATGGGTTCTTGGGCTACCTGTGTGTGCAGATAAACACGCAGCATTCTGCAGCAACACACCATCATCTCCAACCTTCCTGCAACACACAGCGACCTCCATCTGTTGCCACTTTTGAAAAGAGCGTCTGAAAACAGATTTTGTGTAATTTGGCATGTTCTTTCAAATGGAAATAATCCGCCTGTTTCTCTTTCTGAGGGGGAGGCTCCCCTCCGTTGCGGCTTTCAAGGTTAGATTAACGGGACATTTTTTATCTGCACGGGGTTCAGTCCGGATGTTTGAAGAACACAGAAGGCCTCTGTGAGCTAAACTCTTTGCCTGCTATCAGCTCCTGAAGAAAGGAACTGTGACTGTAAAAAAAGTTTGGCTGGAAAGAGAAATGAATGGTTAAAAATAGACTGCAAGATATAGAGAAATGCACTATAGAAATAAAGAAAGTTGTGAACAACAGAGGTCAGGTAGAGGTTAGCGGTTTGGTTGAAAAGAATGGAAACTTAGAGCTGTCTTTACATAATGTTTTATGTACAGTAGCACCCATTCAAAATTTCCCCACTTTCCTTGATGGGCCCTTGGCTGGTCCCCTATAATTCCTTTTTAAACATCTAAAATATTCTTTCTGTCATGAATTGTGGGCATTAAGATCTAAAGAGAAGCGTCATCTCCTGGTCAGACCCTGTAATTCAGTGAAAGGGTGAAATCAGAGTAAAAGAAAATAATAATCTGACCCAGCTGTCCCAGGAGAAGGCCAGTGGCTGGAAGTTTTAGGGGATATTGCTGCCATTTGGCTGGCTTTAGACTGGGACGGGCCATTGTGAATGGCTGCTATTGTACTTGTGTTGGGATGTTAAGTAACACTTTGTGTAGGTCCAAAAGTTTGCTGTGCTGTAACAGATTTTCTTTTCCCGTTGCGTTTTTAAAATGATAGCCTGACCATGTTGAACTAAAAAAATCAGGTTCAGCAGACAAGCTCCTTCAGCAGAAGACTCCTCTTACCCACCACAAGAAATCATTCCTACCTGTGGTCATTAACCTCTATTACCCCCCCCCCCCCCTGTAATTGACATGTATGCACTATTTTTGCACGCCAAGTATAACTTTACTGGGATTTTCACTATATTTGGATTTAGTTTTTACATACCGTAAATCCTCTAATATTGGCCTGGATTCCATTAGCAGCCGGGTCTCTAATAATGGCCTGTCTGGCTGTCGGCGGAGGTAAATACTGGCCGGACTCTTATACAGACCGGGACTATAATTAGAACCAACAATGTTCCTGGGCAGTCCTCAACAACTTGTCATAGTAACATACAAGTACTACAGGGGGGACATATTTGCTAACGAATCCAAGCCATTAGCATGGGAAGTCCCATCCTTAGCACAGACAGTGCCGCAGACAGGAGGTCGGCTTGTTTTGTTTTTATGACCGAAATTGCGGAAAACAACACGTGAAGTTTGACCAGCTACAAGAGCGAGCTGCGCGAGAACGCTGGGACCCTTTTTCCACCTGTATCTCTGCTCTTTTTCGCCGTCATGTCCCTCCGTTGTCGGACTACTCGCCCCCACTTCCTCACCGCCTTGGCCGTATCTAGACCCACAGTCTATTATAGCGTGGACCACGCTTCAATATTAAGCATTAATAAAAAATTTCTGTGTCAAGCTCATTGTGACACACTGCTGCAGGAGTATAACCAGTCACACAATCATTCTGATCTGAAAGACAGATGTGATTACCAGCAGGTCTGGTGGTAACCAGGCAGCGTTAAAATTACAGAATTTTGTTGGCCTTCGTTGTTCTGAATTTTTCTTGAAATATATGATACCGGCAGCCTACTTCCACTTAGCCTGCCTCAAATAAAATTTCGCTGTGATGGCAGAACAGTTTGCATTTTTTTTTTCTTTGTTTCGCAATTCAGTTTGGCCAAGATTCCATTCTGTGTCTTCTTTTTTTTTGTATTGCCGTGCAGAAAAATTGCAGCTGCTGGAAGATGTTTTAATAATGTTCTGTATACCGTTATTTTAACTGTACTTTTTCAATAAATGAACCTAGTATTTTATAGGTTCAAAGAGACACAAAATCTCGTTTTTTTTTTTTATTCCCCTGGTAGTCTGTTTTGATCAAATAGAAATAGAGGCCTGCCTCTAATACTGGCCTCCTTCCAATAATGGCCTGGACCAAGATGTACCGGAGTGAAATAAAGGCCCCAGCCTATATTAGAGGATTTACGGTATGCATAGATATACCTACAGATATATATACAGAAGAGCTATATGTGTATATATTTTATCTCTTTTTATTCTTATTTTTTATCTTTATTATATTGTGTAGTTGAATGTGTGTATATATATATATATATATATATATATATATATATATATATATATATATATATATATATATATATATAAAACTGTAACTGGAGCGTGTAACAAAAGTAATTTCCCTCTGGGGTTATTAAAGTATTTAAAGTATTTCTGAGGTTAAAGAATGATAAGATAAATCCTTTAAAAAATGACTTGGCATTCCAGGTGATATTTACATTTAAAACACGTGCAACCACAATGCAGATGTGTTTGATCTCTGTGTCCTGGGCCCCGGGGCCCCCCTTTAGGGGGATCATTTCATCCCAGGGTGGCTCTGGTTCTGGTTCAAACATACTGGGGTTCAACGAGTGACAGAAAAGAAAAACAAGAGGAACACAGAAGCTCTGACGTATAGATATGTTCTACACTGGAAGAAATCTTCATCTAAGTAATTTTTTTATAAAACAAGTGTGATTTTTGTTGAATTGAGGAGGTAAGTGAAACTATTTGCCATTGGAACAAGACAATTTACATTTAAAATAAGAAAAACTCTGTTTCTTTGTCTTATTTAAAGTGTATATCATCTAATTTCCTTATTCTGAGAGTAAAAATCCTCATTCCATTTGCAAATCCTCTTATTTTTCTGCTCAAATTAAGGGTAAATGCCCTTTATTTAA